AGGAAGGAAGGAAGGAAGGAAGGAAGGAAGGAAGGAAGGAAGGAAGGTTGGCTAGGTGAATAATGTATGAATGAATGGAAGAATAAGATGATTTTAAAGAGGAAATATAGATAGACCCTTTTGAGAGACAACTAAAAAGAAACTGTATGGCTAAGCTTCAGTAGTACATAGTTTAAAGCTTAATGCATGACAATTTATCCTTTTCTTTTTTCCTTCTGAGTGTGTAATCTCCCAGTACATAGGAAAGTTCTCCATGTAAGAAGGAAGAATTCCTACATGTTATTATTACATTTATTCCATGACTAAGTGTATCAAGAATTTCGGAGAATTAAATGTGTGAGCACCAAGGTTGTAAAGAGTTCATCATACTTATAATTTGCATTTCAGTACTTATGGGCTGTTCTCAATAAATTTTCAAGAGGATGAGGCCTCCAGCAACCTACTCCAAACCTTTATTTCAATGACTGGGAAGCCTAAGCCAGAAAGATCTTACCCTTTCATCAGCTCAATACCCAGTCCACAGCTGAAGTGGATTTTATCTCAGACATGCTGAGTCGCTGGTACTGTGTTACCTGCTAAGCTTGGAGTGGAGTTATAGCCAATGTCTCTGTATTACAAGGAGCCCTTGAAGCCAGAGAAAGAGTGACTAATCCAAAATCTTATTACCGGCATGATTCAAGTTCATAACAAAATTCTATGGTTAAAGTTGTTACTGAGACAAGAATGGTATTGTTATTCTTATTATATTGAAGATCAATGACAAAGGCAGAAAAGGTTAAGCTACTATTGTAGTCAAAATACAAGTTTCAGAAATTGTAGTCTTTGATTCGTGAAAAACAAAAGAAAGTTTATATTCCATTTCTACCCCCCGAAGAATCAAGCATTGAAAATTCAGACTTTTATGACCTTGTTTCAAGAAACATCTATCACCTGTGTTCTGCTTGGATCAGTAGAGTTTCAACTTAACAGGAACATCTGCTTTAAGGGGACACAACTGTTGTTAAGAATGCTGACCTTGTCTCACAAGCAAAAGTGTCATGCATTGCCAATAACCTCCATGGATCGCCAATTGTTAAACAGCCACTTTCACGAGGATTAAAGCATTGTGCTTGACATTTTTAGAGTAAAGCTTTAATTCTCCTAAAATTTACATCACCAAGATATTTCCTTGTTAATTTTGCCAATTAACTGGGAAAAAAAGAATCAAGTTATCACACGCATGCACTGAAGTATGTACAGCACACTCAGTAATTGATATCAAAGCGCCAGCGAGATAAAAGGCTTAGCTGAAGAAAAGTCCCTGGGAAGAAAACCGTGGCTACGAGTGAAACCATGCATTAACAATACATTTTCCCCAATGTCAAAAAGTATACAACAGATGATAACAATTTGGAGAGATTAGGTGGAAATACTATTAATCGAAGTATTATGTACGACATGGACACAGTCACAAAATTTAAACCGTTTTTATAGTAATTCTTGTTGTTTTTAAATAGAAAAAGTCAATTTTGCTAATGGCTTTCAATCAAGATCATTATTTTTTTATGTCTAGCCTCTAGTTAACCTGCAGATGTGAAGATCTGAACATACAGAAAATAATTCTATGCAGTAGTTTTGAAATTCTTTCACATCCATTGTTTTTGTTTTTGTTTTTGTTTTTCTATATGTAAGGATACCCAGAGAAATTAGGAGAAAATTCTAAAATGATACATTCAGTGGCAGAGCCAACAGTAAGGTAAAGTGCATTTAGATGAAGGGGAAAAAGACATCATGAGGCTGAGCAGGCTTGGATCCTTCTAATCCTGAAACACAGTCAAGGGTCTTTGCCGCCTCAGGACAAAGCAAGCCTGTAGCATGGTAAAAGCAATCGCTATTTTTCAGTTATGATACTATAAGATTCCCGACCTTCCAAGTATACTTACAGTCTACAGGATCAGCCCAACATATTGCCCTAAAGGATGGGTGCCCAGGCTTCCGAGTCGGGCAGGCATGGGATGAGATGGCAGCTCCATCACTCACTAGCTCTGTTCTCTTCATGGTTTCCTCATCTGCAATGGCATTTACTAATTCTTAGTTTGTAAAGTTGTGAGATTTAAATAAGATAATGCATGCAAATAAAATAGTTAGCATCAGTCCTGGTATATGGTAAATAGTTGATAAATAGCAAATTTAATGTTCATTAAATATTTTATTATTAACACTAGCAGGTATAGAATGGGACAAAGATTAAGCTGTCTCCAAAGCATTGTCTGGTTCTGTCTCCCCCAGGACTCACTCTGGAAAAAACACCAGCATGCTCTCTGAAGTCTTTCTGTAGTGACAAGTACCCGCTTATGACTAATATGTACCAGTTGATCTCTCATCAAAATAAGAGATAATTAGCTTAATTAGTCAGGGTCTAAACAGAAGTCTCAAATACTGGAGAAATTTATGTGAAAATTGTCAGTTTTCATTTTTAGCATATCGATGATTTCCAAAGGCTTTTTGATTAGGTGGAATGCTGTTGATAGTTGACTAAAAAGACATGGTTAGAATGCACTAGAATGTGTAGGTAGGTTGTTTGTGACTCTCTAGAAGGACTACTAATGTGGCTATTGCTTATTTTTGAAGGTATAAAAGGTAAGACTGGACCCCTGGGCCTTGCTGGTGAGAAAGGAGACCAAGGTGAGACTGGGAAGAAAGGACCCATAGGACCAGAGGGTGAGAAAGGAGAAGTCGGGCCTGCTGGACCTCCTGGGCCAAAGGGAGACCGAGGAGATCAAGGGGACCCAGGGCTGCCTGGCGTGTGCAGGTGTGGAAGCATTGTGCTGAAGTCTGCCTTTTCAGTTGGCATCACAACCAGCTACCCAGAAGAAAGACTTCCCATCCTATTTAACAAGGTCCTCTTCAACGAGGGGGGGCACTACAACCCTGCCACAGGGAAGTTCATCTGTGCTTTCCCAGGGATCTATTACTTTTCTTATGATATCACATTGGCCAATAAGCACCTAGCAATTGGGCTGGTGCACAACGGGCAGTACCGAATAAGGACTTTTGATGCCAACACAGGGAACCATGATGTGGCCTCAGGGTCCACAGTCATCTACCTGCAGCCAGAAGATGAAGTCTGGCTGGAGATCTTCTTCAATGACCAAAATGGCCTCTTCTCAGACCCAGGCTGGGCAGACAGCTTATTCTCTGGGTTTCTCCTCTATGTTGACACAGATTACCTAGATTCTATATCAGAAGACGATGAGTTGTAATATGGACTGCAAGCCTGAGTGTCCCAGCAGGAACATCACAGTGGCTTACACACTCACTCAGTCTGGAGTACTAGAAGGTGATAAGGCAATTCGAAAACTTTTTTTTTTTTTTTTTTTACAGAAAGCTCTGGCAGAATTTACCAAAATAAGACAAACCACCAGCCAGGTGAAATTACATCAAAATGAACAGTATACAATAACCCCAGACATGAACCTCCTTGAGAGTAATGATGATGAATATTTAAGCAAATTAAAAATGATGTTAACATATTTGAGTGCCCTTGGTGATGCAACCAGCTGGCAGTGACATTGCCTCATTAAATATTCATAAAACTCCAGTTTTGTTTGTTATTTAGGATAATCACAACATTATAGTTAAATCTTTTGACAATTCTCAAGAGCCAAAAAAGTAAGAGATGCTAAAAATTTTCTAACAAATTAAAACAGTGATAATTTTTTTATTTATTCCGTTATGCTTATATCTATTCCAATAACTCCGTGAGTGTGTGTGTGTGTGTGTGTGTGTGTGTGTGTGTGTGTGTGTGTGCCAGAAGACAACATCAGCTGTCACTCCTCAGGTGCCTTCACCTTGTTCTTTGAGCTAGAGAGGTCACTGAACCTGGTAGCCTGGCTGACTAGTGAACGAAGAGACTACTTGTTCCCATCTCTCTGTCCCAAGGATTACAAGCATGTATCACCACGCCAGATTGGTTTTACATGGGTTCTTAAAGATCAGACTCAGGTCTTTGGGCTTATGAAGCACACACTTTAACAACTGTGTTATCAACCCAGCCCTCAGCAGCTCTTTAATGACACTGTGGAACAGACCCTGAGTGCTGAATCGGACAGAAACAGAAGGTAATGGCCTTATTTTTATTCAGGGTGGAGTATGGAGAGCACTCTGCCACAGTGACCTGGGATGAGCATCGTGGCGAACAGAATGACTGGATGCTAGGGACACACAGGGTCCATGACTCCTGTGGTTGGACGCCAGCGACTTCATGCACAGAAAACCACTAGCATGCCAAGGTCCGTATGTGTCATTGGGTACAACTAATGCACAGGAAAGAAAAGATTAGCATCTGCATTTGCCTCATCCCATGCCAGTGTTACTTTTAGTTGAGAAGGAGTGAAAGATAGAAATAGGGAAAGCCTGAGAGGGAAAACAAGGTGATGGTTGTTGTGACATGGGCATTAACCCAAATGCCTTAACATGATAGCTTTCTAGCAAAATAGGTTTCTTCCAAAAGGAGGAATACTTAAATTATGAAAAAAAAAAATGTTTCTCACAAATTACCTAGGATTAGAATGCAGCAAAGCACATGTCCCAGGCCTATGAGTGAGCTGGAGTGAGAGTGAACAGGTAGGAACTGAACAGCAGAACAAGCTGTGAGTCTTCCAAACCTCTCGCTTGCTTCAGCCATTTTTATTACTGTTGGCATCTGCTTCCCGCTGTGATTTCCTGTTTAATCTCAGCCATGACTCTGTCTTGTGTACCAGTCCTGCAGTCTGCAGTAACAGCATTCTTTTTGTCTTCCCCTTCCTTTATCTTCTATGTTTCTTTCTCCTTGCTTATCAAGGAGTTTAATGTCTGTTATGCATGAAACACCATGCTTGGCTCTGTGACAATGAGGGACCAAGATGAATGTAGCCCAGTCTCTGCCATCAGACTCCTAAGAAGACAAGAAATGGCATGCACACCCACACACCCATACACAAGTCCCTGTGCTCTGGAAAAGGGGCATGCTAAAAGAGGCAAAGTGTTAAATGTCCACTTCCAAATTGTGAGGTGATAGAGGAGGGACAGAGGAATTTCTACCCACTGGATCTTAAACGACAAAAGAACTTGGGATGGACCAAGTCAGGAAAGGAGGGTGCACAGACATATAACAACATGGAAGAATCAAAGCAAGAACTGAGACCATGGAGAGGAATCAGTGGGCCAGTCTTGGGGATGACTATATTTATGGAATGGGTCCCAGAGTGGGGACCCATGACTTTCATCATCAGAAGTAATGTTTACAATTACATAGCCTGTGTCTATGAGTCAGTCATATGCCCACGGGCCAACAACATCCAGACAAAAAAGAGGGAAAGTTTAGTTTGAGATAATCTCCTGTCTATTGATAACAGTCACTGCTAGAATTCCAGGCTACGCTGTATACATAAGAGCCAACAGAAATATGCAATAAAATATAGGCTACTTGAAACCAGATGATTTTGCTGGGGAAAATGAAATGCAGAAACTATGCAGACCATTTTCACCCATGAGATTGTTGTATAATTAAAACTCTTTTCTGACTGTATTCTACTAATGCAATTTTGAGCAAGGTCTTATTAAACAGCTGAAGATAAAATTGGAGCCTTGATCCCCTACTTCCCAAGTAATGGGATTATGGGCAGGCACCACAATGTCCCGTGTATGTGGTGCTGGGGATTAAACCCAGGGCTTTGTGTATGCCATGCAAACATTCTACCACCTGGGCCACAGTCCCATCCTAACAAGGGCATTGTTAGAAGATACTGTCAACATTGTCTTTTAAATGATTCTTTATTATAAAATTTATTTCAAGTAAATTTTTAAAATGAAGTTTCTTTCATTGGCTTTATGCCCAAGATGAATTTGTTTTTAAATTAGTAGCAAGGAGATGAGGAGGGTTACACAGCTGCTGTGGGAAATAAAAAGCAGGTTTGATTTTTAAATAAATTTTTAAAAAAAGTAGAAAATGCTTGTGTTTTTTAGTCCTTAAATTTTTCTCAGCCATCATTTTTCTACATCTGTGAATATTTTTGTCAAGAAGGAGGAGATTGGTTTGTTTCTAAAAACAATCCAAGCCTCATTCCTATCATTCTTGGTAAGGACTACATTGTAATGAACATTACCAACACATATTTCTACATTATATACTCCCTTCTTCTAGAAGTTCATGAGCCCTTAGCAGACACTGAATCTGCCAGCAAGTGGCCTTGGACACAACAGCCTTCAGAAGTATAAGAAATATATCAGAATTGTTTACAGATACTTAGTTTGAGATATTTTGTTGGACTTGGGGTATTTTGTTAGCCCAGTTGGACTAAGGCAATCCTAACAGCAATTATTCCCTCATTTCACAAGTGGAGAAACAGGGGAACAAGAGGATAAGGAAAGTATGAAGTCAATCTCAGGTGCGCAGTAGGCCCAGGCAGTCTGACACAAAGTCTATGTTCCTAGTCACCGATGTGGAACTCAGCTCTACACTCATTTCCTGATGGTGACACGCTATACAGCTCACGCGTGTTTTATTTGTCGATCTGGTATAGGAGTATTCCTGTCCATCTTTATATCTAAGAATTCTACCTGCCATAGAATGTGCTCAATGAAATCAGGCCAAGTTAACCAATGAAAAATTCTATTTAAGTGTAGTCCTCACAAATGGAGAGATGAGAGAGAGAGAAGTGAGAGATGAGGGAGGGAAAGGACACCAGACCCAAAAGCCCCACAATCACCCTGTGCATTAATCCAGACTCTTTAGATCGTACCTGCTATACACTAGTATGCACTAACTCAAGAAAGACAGAACCAGACTAAGAAAAAATCTGAGACAGATGTGGTTCACGGGCATTGGCACCAGTACTGTTCTGTTCCCACCTCGAGGATCAATTCCCTTCAGTACTTAGTTTTGACTTTGGCAGGCTTGTATTTAGTAAAAAAGAAGGCCGCCCACAGTTGAGGTTAGTACTGCTTTGTGATTCGTTTATTTTTTTCTTTGGTGGGGCTGGGGACCCAGTATGAATTTGCCATCCCAGGAGGGAAAGACATTATTTAGCACTAATTCTGGCCCAAGGCTCAGCTACGACAGCCATCTGACTATTCCTCACCCAATAATTGGCCAAAGGGGTGCACAGTTAGGTTGGTTATGGCTATGGTCACAAGCACCCCTGGAGCTAGTATGACTTCCTCTTAAAACTCCTGGACCCAGGTTGGGAACAAGATCATTTCTCAATAAAATAAAGGTTCCCAGTCTAAAAGATGAATTATTAGTTAATAGGCAATCAGTTGTTTCCATACCCAATCAAAACTCCCTTTCGTCTATATGATGTACAGTATGTGTGTCACTGGATTGTTTTTCTCCGGGATAATCTGATTCACTATGACATTTGGCCAGAATGAACTGGCTACTGCCCACCATGTGTGACCTGGCATTCGTGATGACCCAGCCCTGCTGTCTGTCATAGTCTTGGCCTTCACCGATACTTTAAATGACATAATGTTATTCTCAACAAGCCTCCTTCTTCTTCTCCCCATAAGCTCTGACTTTTTTAATCTCAGTTATTTAGGAGTTATGGATCAACAATTCTCTTTAACAGTGATTTTAGAAAAAGAGTGTTAGGGAGGCATCCTTTAAGATTAATCTCTTTATGAAATCACAAGGGCCAGTAAATCCCGTTCATTTGTTGAAGAGCATAACACTGACATTGAAAAGCCCCCCTAGGTCATGAAATATCATGCTAGCCAGATTTTTGAGAAAGAGAGAGAGAGAGAGAGAGAACAACTACCTACATATACTAATGGCAACCATTTACCAGATGCACCCTCGGTGAATAGCCTCATGCAGTGTGTTTGTAATATATATTTCATTATACTTAATAAAAAGGAGGCCATGTTAGTGACATAATATGTTTTAACTTCAATAGAGAATTCAGCACCACACCCGCCTCCCTCATTAAAAGAGGAAAGCTAGTATGGACATGATGGAGACCTGGTGCTTGAGAAGGCAGGAGGTCAGCATCCCTTGAGGCCACACAGGTCTCTGACGTCTGAAAATATGCTGCTTGGAGACTGGGCATTAAAGAAGCAGGGGACAGTCTAACGTATTTCTCTATGGAGACTTAAATGAGAGAATTGCATTCAAAGATGCAGGCAGAGTAAAAAGGACCAGGCAACAACCTTGAGGCTCAAGCAGTACCAGACATCTCAGAAGCCTGGAGGGGGCTGAGCATGCACAGGGCTGACTACCTGGAAGAGGGACTGTGCCACAAGAAGGATTACCACAACCACATAGAAGCAGGAAGCAAGATTCATTTCAACTCTTCTCTCTCTC